AAAAAAAAAAAAAAAAGTCTCATCCTGGCCCAAATGCCATCTACCAGTGTGACTTTGGGCAGTTTGTGTTGTCCTCTGCCCATCAGTTTCCTCCTTTGCAAAGGAGGGGCTTGGACAGGCTAACACCTGGGCTGTCTGTTAGCCCTCTATCTCTAAGGAGGTACAGAGGAGAAAAGGAGTTCCTGAGCTGTATATGAGGTTCACCCACTTACCTGCTGGGACTTGAAAGGCTATAGATTTGAAATAACAAAGACACACTCCTTGGTTTCTTGGTCTGACTTTCAGAAACACAAGAGCAGCCATTCTTTTTGCCTTTCACTGCCCACTCCTACCTTGTCAGAAGACAGTTGGTTGGACCATGTGCTTGATCCTCCCAGGAGCCTGGTGAGCTCCATTGCTAATGGTTCCCTTGGACACTGTACACACAGGTCATTGTTAACTTTCTTTTTCAAAGCTGTTACTTAGGTTGGATGAAAAATAGACTTCAGCCATCGTGATTATTTATACGGGCATACAAAGATGAGACACACCACTCTTCTTGTTACTAAATCATACTCTGGAGTCTCAGAGTTTCTTTGCCATATGCTTTCCAAGTCTTTTCCTGCTGGGCTAGTTCTAGACAGAATCTGTATAAAACACTGCCCTTTTGGTCAGCAGTTCACAATGAACTTGGATGGGAAAATATATACTTTCCGAATCAGGGAATGTATATCCTGATTCTGTCCTTTGCATCAGTGTAGAACTCATGGTGGAAGACATCAAAGATTTCTATGGGGTTCTTTCCATTCTGAGCCCTGAAGCTCATTATTTCATTTTTCCAGGTTTCCTCATGTGATGGCTGTCCTTTATCACAGCCCGATAGCCAAATCATACATCTTCATTTTATCTTTGTTATTCAGAAGTATTCACCAGAGTTCCCTTTTTCTTCTTGGGTTTGTGATAACACCATGGAAGTTAAGCTGGGTTCCACCCTTGCCTTCCAACAGCTTTTGTGTTACTTTCATTCATGGAATACATTCTCAGTGTTGATTTATGCAGACACTCCAATAGCCCTTGTGCCTCCCTTGACCTCAGTTATTCCTAATCCCCCCATCTTTGTCCTGTGAATGCTGGCTGGCCTTTCCAAGATGGAAAATCACTGGATGACCCATACATCTGTGCAGCCCACACCTAGTACATTGCTGGCCTTTGCCCAAATTATGTCACCCCATTTGGGATGACCTGACACCATTGTGATCAGTCTGATGACCTGGCAGCACCCCATCTGCCTACCCAGTTCAGTCTTGCTCCATTTCAGTGCCTCTTACAGCAACTCCTCACGTATCTTCTTGTCACTGTCTCATGCCTTCTCAGTCTCAGCCAACATCAGCCCATTCATTGATTCACCTAGATAATTTGAGAACCACTATGTGCTCTGCCAGAGCGAATAACAAAATACAGTTCTTGCCCTCAAGGAGCTTAGACTGTAATGAGAGAGACAGACAATAAAGAATAAACAGTCGGCCGGGTGCAGTGGCTTATGCCTGTAATCCCAGCACTTTGGGAAGCCGAGGTGGGCGGATCATGAGGTCAAGAGACGGAGAGCATCCTGGCCAACATGGCGAAACCCCGTCTCTACTAAAAATACAAAAATTAGCTGGGTGTGGTGGTGCATGCGCCTGTAGTCCCAGCTACTTGGG